TTCTATCAAAACAACTTAGTTTTTGCAAGTTGTTATTTTCTTTTATTCAAATTCTAGAGATTTTCTAAAAATGGTCTGGCTAAATCCCCACTGACAAAGTAACATACATTGGTAATATAACAGGCTTTCGACGATGAAACAAACGCGAGGGGCTTAGTATATGAATTACAGCTTCATTTACAAAACAAATTCCAAATCGAAGAAACTTATTAAAACTTGGCTATATTTTCTAGCTTTGGGCCAAATTATAATCTGTAACGTGAGTTATTAGTAGTAGTGTGTGCCAAAACTCCAGAAAATCACAAAAACCTATGTTGTGGTAGCTTACTATGAAGTGACCCATTATCATAATAGATTGGTCCATCAACTATTCATTTTTACTTGTCTGCACTCAAAAAGGTGACACGAATGGGCTAAACGGCTTGCAACAAGGTGCAACCATCAAAAAGATGAGTTTGATAAAAAATTTTTTTTTTAAATAATAGCAATGGGTATACAATATAGGAGGCAAATTTGATATTGATAAGTATGATAGTCCATTTGCATGTGGCCATTTTTATAAAAAACAATAATTGTGAAGAATTATATATTTCTGACCTGAAAATGCCATCTTAATTCAAAAGTCATGGTTGTTAATGATAATATTCCTTTTTCACCTATTCAATGTTTTCAAAATATTTTAATTACCATTATATTCATTTTTGGCAAAGTAAATAAATATAGGACTCACACAAGGATCAGCTTTATTTGCAATCTTTTCATATTTAGTGGTGTTTTGAAAAAATATAAGGTTAAACACAATTTTATTTGTTAAATGTTTAACAAAATAAACATAGTGTGTTTATTTCATTGTTTCGACTGAAAAATAACAATTTATTGCTCTTCCTCTTAGAACGGCAGGGGATATAAAAGTACATAAACAGTCTTAAAAACGTTGATCCTTGTGTAAGCCCTACACTTATTTACTTTGCCAGAAACTGATATAATGGTTATTCGGTGGTATGAAAATCATTTCAAAGGTAAAAAGTGACAAGGTGGGGATGTTATCAATAATATTTCAGATATATTTTCATATATTTATATTTTCAATTAATTCATACATTCAAGCATTATGTTTACAAATATTATTAATAACAGGTGGCGCCACAGGTGATACTTATACGCGTACACACACATAGTAGTAAAATCATGTAGTGTATCATCAAGTTGTCAAGGAATCAAACCAGAATGAAATCATAAAAAATAAGTTGAAAAATAAAGGTTGAGGGGGATTCATGATGTTTTTTTTTCTTTTCAAGTGAAGAAGTTGGATAAAATTATTTTTATCACAGGGACTTTACAAAATAAAAATCACAAACACGTTCAGCCCCAAAACTCCAAATACTAAATTAGATATTGAGCTATGACCTTGAAATGATCTTGATCCATAAACACTGACATGGATCTCTGGTCACTTTATCATTGGTCATTAAATAAGACTGTAGCCCCAAAGTAGCCAACTACCTAGATATTGACCTTTGACCTTGAAATGACCTTGACATCAGGTCACCTAATCATTGGTCGCCAAAGGTCACAATTGTTCTCAATTGCCTTTAAACTCCAAATTGCTAGATATTGACCTTGGAAGTCACCCTATCATGAGTCGCTAGGGGCCACAGCAGATCCCAGGGCCTTAATACACCAAATACTTAGATACTGATATATGACCTTGGAATAACCTTGACCTCAGGTCACACATTCATGATTCACAAAGGGTAACCTCAGCCCCAAAACGCCAAATACTTAGATATTGATGACCTTGAAATGATCTTGACCTATAGACTTTGACCTTGACAACAGGTCACCTAATAATCGATTATCAAAGATCAGAATTATTCTCAATTGCCTTAAAACATCAAATTGCTAGATATTGACCTTGAAATTACCTACACCCATTCAGTTGATCTTAACCTCAGGTCACATAATCATTGGTTGTGAAGGGTCACACCATCGGCAAAATGTCTTAAAATGTCAACTACCCTCGACATTGATATTTTAAACTTGAAATGACCCTGACTTTTGACCTATGTTGAATACACATTTTATGAACAAAACATATGAAGTTGAAAACTGATCTTTTTGAAATGAAATTGCTGCTAATGTTTCAAAACTAAGGTATCTGTATTGCAAAAGTAATATTCAAATTGAATAAACCAAAAGAGTTATCTAATTTTCCATCAGATTTAGTAATATTATAACTCTTAAGTAAATGTTGCAATGAATGCTCACACATATCTTGTTGTATATCAATCTAGTGCAACTGCTACAGGTATCATTCTGACACGTATCTGTGAACAAATCAAACTTCTTTGATATTGATGTAATGCAAATTGGTATCTTTTAATATGACGTCCGTAAGATAAACCGTCAATACTAGGATTGTCAAAACTTGCATTAATAAAATCAATTCCCGTCTCATCACTGTCACACCCATTACTACAAGATCAAGTCTCTTAGATCACTGTCTGCAAGCCATAAACTAAAAAAATCAACTTTACTATCTGCTGCATCACTATAAATATAGAGGGTTGTCCTGGAAGTAATGCACTATATGCTCGTAATACTTTTTTATTCAAAATCAAAAGTCAATGATACTATTCCTATTTTACCTATTAAAAGATTATTATATATCCGAATAACCATTATATAAGTTTTTGGCAAAGTAAATAAAAGTTTTTGGCAAAGTAAATAATTGTAGGGCTCACACAAGGGTCAACTTTTTGAAGACTTTTTCGTACTGGTGTAGACTCTCCTGCTTGCAAAGCAAGGGCGATGAATTGAGATTTTTCAGTTGAAACAAGAAAACAAACATATAATTATTTTTTCTTCAGCAAATAAAAGATAAAATTGAGTTTACCTTCGTATTTTTTCAAAACATCACTTAAACTGAAAATGCTGTGAACAAAGTTGATCCTTGTGTGAGTCCTATAATTATTTACTTTGTCAAAAACTAATGAAATGGTTATTGGTATATTTAAAAGACATTGACTATATAAAATAGGAATAATATCCTTGACAACAGTAACTTTTTAATTGAAAACGCATTTTAAGGTCATAAATATCCAATTTTTACCATAATTGTTTTTCATAAAATTACCACACTCAAATGGACTATCATTACACATCAATATCAAATTGGCATCCTATTTTGTATACTTACAAGTATTATTTAAAAAAATGAGTATTTTTCAAACTCATCTTTTTGACGGTCGCACCTTGGTGCAAGCCGTTTAGCCCTTTCGTGTCACTATTTTGAATGCAGACAAGTAAAAATGAATAGATAATAGATCAATCTAAAATGACTATGGGTCAATTCATAGTAAGGTACCACAACATAGGTTTAGCCTAACTAAGCCACTTAGAAAGCAATTTGGCACACACTAGGTTTAAATTGAGAGAGCAAAATATTCGTAACCAGGAAGTTCATCCATTTTGTTACATTTACGTTCCGTCAAAGTAACTATTTGTGGAACAGTGATTATGGCATTCGGTATAACGCCTTTCGGTAAAATGCGCGTCGGTATAATGGGTTTCGGTATAATGCGCGTCGGTATAATGGGTTTCGGTATAATGCGCAGACCCCGACCTAAGAATCCAACAATATGTTATTTGCCCAAACGATATGAATTCATCCATTCGGGAAAGAACTGACCATTGAAAATATGAAATCGATTCGATCAACAAGATCATGTCAATCAAAACAGAATCATATAATCCACATGAACATATTATCATGTAAAAGAAAACGTTGTTATGTAATCCGGAAGACGAAACTGGGGATGAAGTGCTAGGCATATGTCAAGAAAAACAGTTTTAGGTTTGCATGGAGATAACAAAATGTAATGGTGACATAATGTTATAGACTCTGGACGGTGTTCGGCGGTTGGTATTGCATGTTATACCTTGTATATGTTTTAAAAATTAGTATGTTTTTTGTTATGAGTGTTCAATGAACCAATTGCAGAAAACCATGAAAAGGAATTTTCGTCTTTTTATGTCATCATACTATCAAGGTAATCTCTGGGTTTTTGACTTGTGGATTGCTTTTGTACCTGATCTTTCATTTGACACCAAAAACACCTCACACAGACCACATCAGAGGTGACACCAGATTATCAAAAAATATTTTCAATCTATCAATTTATATATGTCACGTTTTAGCAATACCTTGACTGAAAGATGGCAAGTTTTTTGCATGGCATTGGGTCAATACAACCTACTTCTGACATTTGTTTTGTTCATGGTATAGGAAAAGTAGTACTTAAAACACTAGTTTGCTACTTTGTAGATGTATGGCACGTATATGTGTACATGTATTGACAATTAATGTTTGGTAATAGCTAGTAGGAGTGTCGGGGACATCTTCACACGCCGCAATCAGGAGTGTCTGCAACGTCAAGTTGGTCTTACCGGACACGTTTTTTGAAAGACCATAAAGGGCAGACCATTTGAATGGCAGAATCCAAACTTTTATGACTGTATTGTTAACAATTCACCTTAATACGTATGAGTGATAAATGAAGCATATATCTTATTAGTTAAAGAAATGACGGGCACATAATTTATGGGTTGCATTCATTTTGGGCCACCCTGTAAAAGAATAGCTAGTAAGTTGAGTGTACATAAGAGGTCACATGATTTAAACATAAATATTCATTTATATTTCACTTCCATCTTCTTTTAATCACAGTACTATGCTTTTATCCTCTCATTAGTCTTATGATATTATACAAGTAATGTTTATCTCATTACCTAATAGTATATGTTTTTTGTGCAATTCTATTGGGTAGACCTCAATCTGGCCAAACGAATTTCCTTCAAAACACAAGGTTAAATACGAAGCCTTGCCAAGTATTTCGCGTTCAAATTATGCAAAACAGAATCATGGGAACTTCCGAAAACATAAATTATTTTAATACCATGTCAAACCGTCATTTTGAGATTCACAAGCATGGGTCTTTTTAAACTATCGAGGCGAAAAACACAACCGTAACCAATGTCAATGATGCCTGTATAAAGGAAGCTGACCCAGTCACATCATCCATCTTAATCTCATCGTCACAGGACTCATATGCTCTCCAAATGTTCTGAAGCCGAGGTTCTCTCTCTGTTAAAACCTTCACCATCCCAAAAATGTCTTCGTTCCCCATACACTCGTCATTCAACCTGGTTTCTTTCACCATTTCTTTGCATTCAGGTGTACAGCCATCACCGGCCATTGAGCACTTTGTCACAACTTTCATTGAAAAAGCTTGAAAGACCGTCATCGTCAAACTACATCCTCCAACCGTTAAAGCTCGACCTCTTGCTTTGGGACAAAGTTCGAAGTCTTTGTACCTCAGCATAGCTGTCAAATTACCAATCACCGGGTAGTATTGGAAAAACCCGTAGCACATTTCAGCTGATGTATCGTCACCGTAGTAAGTGGTTTCTGTTCTTGAGCGTGAATCGAAGGTGCAACTAATGAATACCTCATCACCGGGTAGAAACTCTATCGGTGGATCATGTCTGCAAAATATTCTCATTTGACTTATTATTTAATAGTCAAGCAATGTCATAGTTGTAGTAACACTGTGAAATTCAAAATATTCAAAGACAGCGTTCTTTACTTGTCTACCAAAGGTACTAAGCTACTAGTCAGCAAAATAGCACTGCTGCTAGCAAATGTAAAATTAAATACTTTAAAGAATTTAGTTATATAAAGAGCAGCACACAGTAAGCTTTACATGTTGGTCTTTGTATTTCTACACTTATAAAAACCGAGACACTTACACAAAACCAACCGGTGAGTCGTAACTGAATGCATCATTTCGACCTAACGTTTTTATCTTGTTTCCATTACGGCGAAGATCTGAAAAGCCTGATTTACCTGAAAATGCAAATGCACGAACCAACTTAAGATAATTCCTTTAATATGGGATGGGAACGTCTTTCGTAAAGCGCCGGAGCATGACCATGCCATTTTACTTAGTATTATCAAGAATTTTATACATTTATCTTTTTTATTTAACCCAAAGCAGCAAGGTTTAAAAAACAATCAATGCAAAAGTTCAATCCGTTCTTTACTTGAGACAATTTTACATCTAAATGATTTAATTATTTCAAGGGCTTGCTCATCACAAAATAGAAAAATTGTTGACACATGGATCAGGAACAAACATAATAAACCACATTCACGGTCTCCGATACTACCCAACGTAAATCGTTCCGGACTTGTTTTTCATAACCATTTGGACTCATTTCGTAGGAGAATGAGATAAGACATTCACCAGAATGGCTCAATAATGTAATATAATTCAATCGTTTAGAAAAATACATACGCTAACTTCAACCTAAAACATTCTTTTTCATACCCACATATCTAATTTGGCGATCGTGCCATCATAGTTCATATTTATCGGCATTAAATAACAAAAATGCCAGAAATATGCTCTAAATCTGCATTAGTGTCATTTAACTATGTTTAAACAAAAAAATCATTTTATAACGTGGAACAATATTCACTACATTAAAGATCGTGTTAATATTTTAGCTATCTGTACCTTCAAATTTCCATATATGACCGTAATGTAAAAAGTGGAGTTAACGACGGCGAATGGTCCTTATTCTGACACGGACTTGTCTTATAATCACTAGGTGAACGACTTCGAATTGTGCACAACGTGATAAAAAATAACGATTAGGAATTGTCTTGTAATGTATTTATACGTCCCATTGTTTGATGAATTGTCTATGCTTCTGGAATAATTGGATTTAGTATGATTATGTTTTAGAGGAGTTTTTGTACTAAATATTCACAGATTTTGTAATTTCAGTTCCCAGAAACAAGTGCCACGAATGTACTTTTAAAAGTGCAGATAAAAATATATTCTTTGAACACTTCAAGAGGGACCATCCCTCCGATTTATTCAGGCTTGACGTCCCTTTTCGTGATAAAGGCATATGGCGTTACAAAACACTGGATTATGGATTCCGGATGTGTGATAAATTAGACTCAAAGCTGTCATTTGATGATGGCACCTCGATATAGGAGGAAGAATACGTTGAACCCAGTCCTCTTCAGAAGCGCATGCGATTCAAGGCCATGTGTCAAATAAAAAAGATGATGGAATCCATGTATGTGCGGGCATAGATCGTATTTCGGCGATCGATGATGTTTCTATATATTCTTTTCAAAATACATTTGGGGCTTATATTATTATTGTAAGTTTACAGCAAATCCTGTCTTAGGCGACACATGTCTCGTATTAAAAAGGGTCAAAACCCAGGCCATTTAAAAGAGGCGACGCTGAGCTTTTTGAACGTATTTAGTGCATTGGAAGTTAAGGGGAAAGTCTGAAGAAGAATCCGAGGCAAAAACCTGCATGCAGTGAGGCAAATTATGAAATCATAACAAATAATAATGAATCAAATTGTTAATAATCTAGGGGCAAACCAGTAGATTTTTAACAGTAAATAATGATTAAAACTAATTATTTCTTCTCAACTTTCACTAAACTTCTTGCTTAGCATTAATATAAGCATGGAAGTCAGATTGAAGCCAATAAGATGGTTTTAAAGTCTTATTCGAGGCAAACTTATGCTCACATTTTTCATAGACAAATTGAAAATAGCGACGAGTGAAGTCTTTAAAAAAGCGAAGAGGCAAAACACAAGAAAAAGTAAAAAATCAACTTTTCTCTCTACATGCATTCTTGCCCCTTGAAAGTATCAAGTAAAGAACATGTATCTGTAATGATTCCCTAATTCAACCTTGACAAGTATCTCTTAATACGTTTGATTAATGATGATCATTTAGATAGTATCACTCAGACACTTTCTTCCACTGTTTTGTTGGAAATCTATAAAGTTTATGGAGCTGTTCCACACTTAAAAATGGTTCATTGTGTTCTACAAGTCAGAAACGTTCCAATAACACAAATCAGAAACGTTCCAATAACAAGGCAACATCATTAACTGGAATATTTAGGTCACGTCCAAATGGTTAAATCTAAAAAATATTTTTTCGACAATTGCTACTCATTTAAACCCTTTAAAAATCATGATTTTCGTTCACAATATAGCTACTTTCATTATAAATCAGTGTATTCATTGGATACAAGGCAGGCTGGTGATTATCAGGCAAAATAGGTGAAAACACTTGCAGAATCGCTCACATCCCGAAATAACAAGACTATAGCAAACGGTTCGTACAAAAAAGGCGTTTGCGTGTGCCTGAAGATAGGGTATATAGTATGGTAAGTTATCTAATTGTGTTATAATTTATATAAAGTCAAGTGAAAGCAAGTTCATAACCAAATTTACAAACCTACCTCTACTTTTTTCCATAAATCAAGTCCAAATGGTTATGAAAAACAAGTCCGGAACGATTTACGTTGGGTAGTATCGGAGACCGTGACATTCATTATCCCTTGAACCTACCTAAATAGTGCATATGTAGAGCAGTATTGAGTATGTGAATAGGGTAGGGAAGCGTCTGGCGAGTACAACTTGACGAAGCCATGGCAGATTCAGTATGACTTTCTAATCCTGGTTTGATATCGAGGTAACGCTGACCGACTACAAAGACTCCAGCGTCATTGGGTCTCAAGTTTGGTGTGTAGAACAATGTTACACCAGAACTGTCGGTGTAATCAGAGCGCAATTCTGGGTTATTCCAATGCATCTGGAATAACATAATGAGAGATTTTCAACGATCTATCAAATATTAAATGGAATATACAGTCTAATATACAATGAATTCAGCTCCATGTTCAACTTAACTTCATGATTTTATTAAAATACCTCGAGACCTTGAATATCAAACTTTATTCCATGATGGTGAAATTCCCTGCAATCTGATTGGTCCATGTGACTTAAATATATCCTGTATTTACACGCACTTTCCACTTAGCATTGAATACAGAGTGAAAATGACGTCAGCGTTGGGATACGGTCCAGTATCCCAACGCCCCAGATTTTCATCCAGGATATGACTATTACTGAAAAAATCAATGGCGATCTGTTTACACCAACGCATGCTAATATTTGCATTTTGCTAGAAATATCTGATTTGAATATCAGGAAATGATACGGTGATCACCACAATTTATCATTTTAGGATAAAAACACTCATCTGTAATTATAAAAAAATCAGTATGAAGCATGCACATTGTTTTCATGAACTAGTAAAAATCCAATATGGCATTCGAAAGTCGAAAAAAACGTTTCGTTACACTGCTCCAGCTGATGAAATTGAAGAAAAATGTTGAAGAAAATCAAACGTATCGTATAATACAATAAAAGCAAAACAACAAGGCCGAAAAGATTTTGAAGGAATATCGATGTAAAATATTTTTGAGGTGAGAAGGTTGATCTGTTTCTCCGGTCCCAAGCCAAGGAAATGGACTTGATTTAGGGGAGTTTTATCTGAGTAATCATGGAATAAAAACGTTATTCAATGATTTCTCGTGAAATACAGAAAATATTCTTCCCTTGAACGTCTGTATTTCACTCTGCTAGCGCATCGTGAAATACGACCTTCTCGGGAAGAATATTTTCTGTATTTCACTCGAATCATTGAATAACTTATAGTACTCCTTTTTGGGGCTACCCTCAGGCCCGTAGCCAGGATTTGCCAAGGGGGGGGGGGGGGGTTCAATTTTCAAAAATTTCCAGGGGGGGGTTCACATTTGACAATTTTGGCCCAAATTAGGCTAAAATCACTTGAGAAATGCTCAAAATGGTCAAAAACTGCATGATTTTGAAAGAATTTTTGGCCAGGGGGGGGGGGGGGGTTCGCCCGAACCCTGCGAACCCCCCTGGCTACGGGCCTGACCCTGTACAAGCAATAATGACGCGCAGTTCGCACTTAGAGGTAGAATGGACATGATAGTGGTATACTTTCTTACAGACCCTCCAGTTTTAACCTCGGATGATTTGCTAGTAGAAGTAAAGAACCGAATCCTACTGAGAAAGGGGAATTGGTTGGCGAAAGCATGACAAGACAAACCATAATAATATTCCAAATATAGGTACAAGGATGTATAAAGGACATTGCTCATCGTGTTTAATACGGTACCTGCATGACCGCATATTTGTATCCGTGTTTTCCAATTCTGAAAGCTGCACGTTCCGAGTAACAATTTCCTGGTGATCCAAGACTCCAGCCAGTAATTATATTGCTACAACCAGTGTCCATTCCACATAATGTTGGAGTTCCAAATTTAGTGCGAACGTCAGATTCACCACCCGTTAGATCCTCTGTGTATTAGTTGAACAAAATAAAAATAGTATTAAAAATCAGAATACAAGTAGTTTTTTCCGTGATGGTGAAATTCCCTGCAATCTTATTGGTCCATGCGACTTAAATATATCTTGTATTTACAGGCACTTTCCACTTATAGCGTTGGAGAAGAGTGAAGATGACGTCAGCGTTGGGATACGGTCGAGTATCCCAACACCCCAGATTAGTTTACACCAACGCGTGTTAATCTTTGAATTTTACTTAAACTTTGAATTTTACTTATTTTAAATATCAGAAAATGATACTGTGATCATCGCAACTTTTAATTCTAGGATAAAAACACGCATTTGTAAATATAAGAAATCAACTTGAAACATGCACGTTGTTTTCACGTACTAGTAAAAATCCAATATGGCAGACATAAGTCGAAAAAACGTTTCGCTATTCTGCACTTCAAGATGATAAAATTGAAGAGAAAATACAGAAAATCAAACGTACCGTCTAGTACAAAGTAAACAAGGCTGAAAAGATTTTAAAGGAATATCGATCAAAAATATCTTTTGAGGTGAGAAGCTAAGGTTGATCTGTTTCTCCGGTCAGGCTTAGGAAATGGACTTAATTTTGGGGGATTTTTATCTGAATAATCATGGAACAAAAACGTTATTCAATGATTCCTCGTGAAATACAGAAAATACTCTTCCTTGAAAGTCTGTATATCACTCTGCGAGCGCATCGAACCCAGGACCTTCCGCTCTCACAGTCAGACGCTCTAACCCTAAGCTATAAGGGCTAGCCACTACAGCTGAGACTGTAGTAGCGACTTCCTATCGAAGATCATTACAATATTTTTCACTTGAATCGTTGAATAACTTTTAGTATTGAATAACATTTGTTTGGCTTTTGAATGTTTACGAATTTTATGTAAAATGTGTGTACCGTCATTACACCCATGCACGATAATGTGATGCATAACGTAAGCATTGTCGATTATTGGACTTGATGCAATAAGGTGATAGTCGCCATCCCCCGGCAGCTCCACCGCCATGCAATAATAATTCGTCTCTGTAGGAGGCACCTGCGTTGGCGGGAAACGAACACTGACATTTCGAACGTCATCTTGAGAATCAAGAAAATGCATTGATTTAATTTTAATAATTGAATCACAACGTAATTCAAAATATTACATCAATAAATTTAAAAATAAAGAGACACGTTTAATTTGTCTTTAAATGACGCTTTGATTTCGATCTATACCTTGAAATTATGCTTTGTATTTTCTGTTCCTTTTGTCAAAAGCAATATTGTGTTCAAAATATTTGACTCAAGTTACAGCATTTGTATTTCAATACCTTAACATATGATTCTGTTATCATATGTTTAGAAGCTCATTTTGTATTGTGTAATCAATTGCCGAGTGACTTCATTTTATGGACAATTATCTACAAACCCGTTGCATCCATGGCTGGACAAGAGAAGACTTCGCTGCCACAGAATTCCCACTGATTTTGTGCTAAACATTCATCAGAGTCCCACGGCTCGCAAACACCTATAGAACAGAATATGCACCAATTGCACAATTTGTAAAATGAATGTACATATATGTAATTCAATTGTTCTACGATGTAAAAAGCAAAAAGGTCCAATTTATGCCAACTAATAATGGCATGAAGTGATTGGATTTATTCTTAATCTGCGATTCTACTATTTGTACCTGGATGCGACAATCCGCTTGTAATTTCAGGAACAGCTCCTTCGGTCCATACACAGTTAGGATCTCCGAGTTCAACACCATTTGTTTTCCCGTCATTGTCAGAATCAGCGTTACACAATGTAGAATTCCATACCTAAATGTAACCACAAAGCTACAGGAACAGTGTTATACAAAGTCATATCACATACACTTGGTGGTCAAAAACGGAAACCTTGCATTTTCCTCATATCTTTGTCATTTTAAAGAATTGCTCCCTTATATTTGGCACACCTGTACATCATTCAATTTCGTACCACCCTACAATATTTCATGATCATCAAACTGATAGTCACAATGCTACAGCACTTTGAACAACAGCAAAGGGGCCATTCAACGATCATGGACCAGTGTTAAAATATATTTAGGTTTGGATATTTCATCATGACTAACATGTATTTTTATTATCTCCAAAGAAACCCCGTGGATGAACATTATTTAAGGAATAAAGACCGAGATTTTATGATTTTAATATATGACCAAAAGTTTTATTCTGTTCATTGCGTCGCGTAGCGATTGGGGTCTTTGGCAATGACCAGAATAAAATTTGAGGTCTTAATTATATTACTCTTGAAACGTGGTGGATCTTAAAAAAAGCTATAAGTGGGACTTCCTTTGTAGAAACTTTGAACTTAAATTGATAGTTAATCCATACATTTTAAGAAAATTGGTATTTCAAAAAAGATATTAAACCACATGTTGCCCTGATAGCTCAGATAATTAAACATTTTCGAATTTTCCTTCAACCTATGCCTTGTTGCCCCTTTAGCTCCAAACCTGAAAGGCAGAATTGTGTTTCTCAAATTTTCTACACCGATCGCTTAATAATCAAAGCTGATTTAGAAAATAAAAATTATATGTCACGGACTTTTTTATTGCTCTGAAAATTTATTTTTTCATTTTTTGATGCTTTGTCTTATTGTTGTATGTTATGTTATGAAGTGAAACACAATTACAGTTAATATATTTCTAATTGGAACAATTATTGAAGCAATCCAAATTATTTGTACACCTAACAATTTATTTTTCAGAAGTGTGATTTCACTTTTCAAATCATTTTTCCTATGCACGTAGAAGTACAGTACTTTTGCCAGTACAAAGAGTGTATGACCTGCCTTAACAAAAGCATGTTTTTATCTTTATACAAACAGCTCATACCTAAAAATCACATCTACCGATATATTCAACTTTTCTATCCATTCAAATGCAGCGAAATACAATGAAATATCGATGATGATTCAGTGCAGTTGTTTCCGTCCCAAATGTTCACCTTTGGTCAATTCAAACCTAAATTACCATACAGTTCAAAATATAGGACGAGGAAATAACTTAATCTTAATAGTTCAAAAACTAGAACTAAGGGTACTCACAATTTTTGTTTGGTTGTACTGTGAAAGTAAATGTTCAATGAGAGACAGGGAGTGGCTAGGAATACCGGCTAAACCTCTGATTTATCATCATGAGGAAAGAACATACATGGGGAAGGGGTGGGGGGGGGGGTGGTAGGGTAGGGCGAAGGGGTTTGGCCAGTAGATCATCCAGGTACACCGTCCATACAGACATTAAAGGCTATGGCAATCTAAATCGTCAGATCTGCTTCAATATTTGTTAGAAATATGGTACTACATACTAATATACATATAGCATTTTATTTGAAGTAACGAATAGAAATATACTTTACAAACAACAAAATTAAGAAACTAAAAAAGAACGACAAAATAAATGAATATTTTTGGCAAATTACACATGGATATTTTTGGCAATCATTACAATTTTTATTTTTAACACAGAATTAAAGATTGAACATATGACAAAAACACTATTTTTTTGATTTCTTTGGGCTTGTGTAAATTTTGACATTCGAACAAATAATCGATCAATTATGTTGATATTTTCCCGTTTGTTAATATAATGTTTCTGTGACCCTTAAACGTGCGTGTATATTCTTGAATTAGACTAGATATTTTCTATAACTTTTCCAACAAATAATCTGCAGTTTGACTTATTAGGTAGTTTTAAATCCGGAAAACAAAAAATCTAACCGAACCCGAAGCCAGGAAGTTGTCAAAGTAACCAGTTGGGGATCAGTGATAATACATTATTAAAAAGTCCTACCAATACTATCATGCACAATGCAAGACAAAATTACTTAAATGTCACCAGAATATCTGTGAATAACTAATTATAAATTACCTTTCCATTTGCTTCAAATGCCAGTCCAAACGCGTTCCTGTTTCCACCACCCATCGCATTTTTATGTCCTACCCCCTGCCACATGTAGTTAGGCTTACATGGGTGGGGAATATTGTTCCCATTTGGTATTTTATCTTGAAAAAACTTGTACCCCACGGTTACATTTAATATTGAAAAAGTGAAAAATAATCTCAACTTGAACTGAAAATTCATTTCGTTCTTTTTTAAATGCCAATGAACTCTTGCCTTCGTGAATGTTTATGTCTGATCCTTATATACCGGCGGTTACACCAGCTTTACCTAAGTATTGAATCAGTACGTTATGGTCTCTTTGAAATCTGATCGACATTTTCTATTTGTACTGCGTGAATGCCTATTTGTGTTAGGTCATTCAAAGTTGTATATATATATTTAACGTCCTGTCCCTCTTAAAGTGGCAAATTTCCAGAAAACGAACAAACTATTTCAGGATGCCTAGATATTGATCTGAGATTGTACTATAGTGCATTGAGTTCCTGAAAGTATTGCAGACGAAAGAAAAGTAGCAAATAAAGCACATACATAACGTCAGTCAAATGATATAAAAGCCATATAAAATGTAGGAAATAAAGGTTTAAATGTTCTTTTAAACCCGTTCCCCCTCCCATGCTCCTTCTTTGTTAAAGAGGCAATATGCCACAGTTAGCACATAGAATATTAACTTTTTGCCATTCAGCGGACTTTCAGAAGCATTTTGATATATATTGTCAATACCGTCATTAATTTTGGCCAACCTTCTGTTGTATAGTAGTTCATTTGTAGTTTCCAAGGAAGAAGTCACAAATCGTCAGGTTTCAGTGCTAATTTTGCAATTTCTTTCGCTGAAACTGATTAAATCTGAATATACTGGAGAAATCATTGTAATTTGCATATATCAAACAGTCAAAATAACTCCAGAGCATTTGCCTGTTGCGGTTACGGGTCAACGCGGTAGCCTGGCGTCCGGCCGTATAAATGGGGGGGGGGGGGGGGGTGCTCTGGATGTGCCGTTAATATTAATTATGTTCCTTATATGTATATAATGTAGTACAGTATAACTTTTTACTAATTTGTTTTCTTTAATAAGACATTGTACTCTTCAGAATTGGAGGAAATAAAGATACAATACAATGCAATGGCGCAATGCATCTTTAATAAACGTTAACGGTCCGACGCCGATGACTTCTCAACTTAAATAACCTAGTATAAGTGAATACAATTATAAGTCGCTTTTCAAATGTCACGAAACGTAACCAAGAAGTCTAAAGCTGTAGTGAAATATTACTAGTCTCTGATTTGTTGATATAATATTTATTAACATAATATTCAAGTATTTTTCTTACTGAAAAGTAGGTGACCGTTTGTTTTTTAAGTGACTCAATTTCCAGACGTTTTAAACATAACATTAAAGTATTTTTCTGACTAAAAAGTAGTTGACCTTTTGTTTTTCAAGTGATTCAATTTCTAGACGTTCTAACAATAATAGTTAAGATGCAACTACTTTCTTAAAATTCTTCAGACAATTTACCAATATACCAATAATCCAGGTGTCATTTACGCGTCTTTTATACGCTGGTGTAGATGTAATCGCTACTATTTCCCATTATACATTTACACCCACTCGGGTAAGTAAATGCCTACGAAGCGAAAAGTAATCCCAAGAGGGCCATGATTTTACACCTTCACGTTGAATTTGTTAAAAACGAGTAGTTTATCCTCCCTTTTTTTTGTTGCACTCGTAAATCAGCTCCCTTGACTCCCACAACTCCAAGTGGCATCAAGATACGTAAACGACCGTTACACACACTTTCAATATGGCGGACAAGAACCTACACTTTCAAGCCTGTTAGTTCCAATCGATGTACTCCACCTTTTCAAGGAATTTTGGGTTTAAAACTTTGTTGTATCACTGGATAACCATTAAATACGAATGCCTCCACTGTTTATGTGGTACGATGACGTGAATAGCCTCGTACGATTGAGGATTTTTCATATGAATTCCACTTAATTGTACCCTAAGCGAATGTGGACATTCTTCGTATGACTGTGGCATTAATTTCCCACACGGGTTATAAAAGGAGGATTTAAGCAAAGACGGGGATTAAATAAACGTATAAGTATAATGAATTGAATAACAGGTATTAAAGTTATACAAAACGCTTGTATATAGTGTCGACACACTTAATAGTTAATATATTGCTCAGTGTATGTACATGGTATATTTCAAGGTCTACACTACAGTATGCAACCAGCGGCTTGGTCAAGAACACCAAGAATCTTCTGGGAGACAAAAGGATCGTCATGAAAGAATATTAACTTTTCGTCAGTCAGTGGACTATCAGAAACAACCTTTTTGATTTCATTGTCAATACCGTCATTGATTTTAGCCAACCCTCTGTTGCTAGTGAGTACTATCCATATAACAACGCCATCATTGTCTCGTATTTCCTTGGCCGCTTTGATTGTGTTCGGGCGTTTGTTCAAGGGTGATGTCATACCATCTCCGAAGAAAATTGCGACATCGCGATAGGTTTTATCATCTCTGTCATTCGCTAAATCAGAAATCGTTTTATTGAACGCAATGTCAGTTCTGGTTCGACACTCCGCTTGGGAATCACGTGTTACTTTAAGCTCAGACAGCATCTCTATAACACGTTCTGGGTTACCGTCTGGCTCACCGGATGAGAACCCAAACGAATCGATCACATCACGACTGTAGCTGAACCCACTAATCCTGGACCCTTTGACGGGGTCAAGCGCAAGATTCCTACTGATCTCCTGCGCAATCGTAACTGCAGCAGAGACGTTAGCCGCGTCAAGGGAACACGATATATCAAAAGAAAATACAATATCAGCGCATACTGAAAAAAACAAAAATATTGAAAACTAAAAGAAATACAATATTAATGGCTTTTATGATGATTCAATCCTCTTTAAATCGTTTGATAATGTGTATTTAAGCAAGTATTATACAAAGGGTAACCCTCGCATAGTATGACGTAGTATATTACCCGTTTGATCGGCAGGTCCTGTGCAAGAGAAACGTGACGTAAGCGTTTGAAAGATTCGTTCCTCGTCGTCCTCATTTTCAATCTTGAAAAAATGGTCCACGTATGGTTCAGAAGGAAGAGCTTCGAACTCACCAGTATCCGAAAGTCCTTTTCTGAAAATACATTCATGATTATACTTATATGATTAATGACCAACCTGATTTGGATTTATTCCTGGGAAATGAAATATGTTGCTAATTGCACTTATGTTGCCGTTCATTGTTCCTTATTAGTTATAAAAACTAATTGAAAAGCTTCATTCATTAGCATTCAGAGAACATTAAAGTCCCATTGGTGGTTTAATGATTATTTCGCAATAAATGGAGAATTCAAACTTCAAAGTGAAGTGATACAATCTCACATGTCATAGTGTATTCCGATAAACTGCAATAATAGATAAATAAATAAATTAATACATAAATAGATAAATATGTAAAGACATAAATATATTGTTGCTGATCATATAGTTTTTAGCTGAATCTATTACCAGTATTTGCTAAACTTGACGTCAATTAGCACATGATGCCAATCTACAACTACATACGTAATATGACAATTACTCAGATGCGAGTAGGTAGTTACCAGTTTCGCCACCAGGTGGCTGATTCGTGGAAAATAACATGGCAGGGTATTACAAATTTCCCTTAAACTTGAATATTCATGATCAGTTATAGTGGTTCATTTTTCATATTACCCTGACGTATCTGATAGTTATACAAATTAAAATATGACTAGTAAAAGGAAATATTATCTACCCAACACAAGAAAAGATATTTCACTTTTTGTGCTTTTACAACATGAGCTCTATGGGGAATCTCCCCGACCTAGAAGTCACATTTTCAAAGAAAATTAAATTTTCTTTCGTAAACACTTTTTAAAACCACATTTCTAGATGTAATTTTACATGGAGATTCCAAATATGACATCAGTTCGACTGAATTTTGAATTTTTAATGTCATAAATCAAGATTACTTCTACTCGCACCTAGTCTATTATCCCATCTTCAACGCATCCAGGGGTACAGATACGTTAATAGTTCCCGATGTAGAATTTGTGCTTGTTTGTCCCCATTATCCATTTGATTAAGGGTATAATTATTTTATACGAAAATTAAATACGCCGGAGATTTTTATCAAATAATTTCGCGTTTTAAAAGCATAAAGAGGCATAATAAGGTCTGGTATTGATAATGATGGTTTTACCTGTGAGGAGTGGCAACGATGTTGATTTCAATCCCAGCTTTCTTCACATTGATGGCCTCCTTCAGTGTCTCATCGTTGTATTTAAACTGAGCCGTTCTTCCGTCCGTAAAAATCACTGCCACGTTAGGGTATTTACCATTGTCTCTGAATTAATAATTTTGTAAAGGCATGAGTAAATTGAAATTTACCGTGTTCTCCTAAATAACACGTACGTCATGTAAAATTACCCACTATCAGAGATAATTATAAGTGTTATTAGTGTTTACGTAAGGTTATTCCAACTTTAACATCCCCAAGTATTTTACGTATTTTAATAACGTATAAATTATGAAGCGTTTGATTATGTCATCATTCATTGCGCAGCTCTATACGTCCATACGTGGGTGACACGAGGTGACAGTGTTTATTACCAGTTTTTGAAAATCGACAATATGCTTATTCAAATTCTGCCTTATGACTAAGATTTATAAAGTAAAATATCGAAAAATATGACATCAAGTATTTTGACAAGTACTTTGCCTCAGTCACATTTGATCGACGCCAACCGTATGGCGGCCATAGCTTACCAAAATCGAAAGAAATATGCAGCATAAAATATATGGATAAGCGGTACGATGTAGATTTTCTATATCGATTTTAGCTACGGCTGCCATACGGTTCGTACGGTTGCCGTAGAGCAAATGTGACTGAGGGTTTATAGGTGCCATGGCTTACTGGATTGTTCTCTTGGTCAATAGATTGACAATTAGTCATTAGAACTTATTTCCATACTTACCTATCACCCCTTTCTGCAACGAAGAACGTTTCGTTTAGGTGCTTCAATGCCGTGTGAAGATGTGATTTGCATTCTCCATCTACATCTGTGTTCCTAATAGTATCTGCAAGTTCCTCGCCATCCAGTTCTTCATCTACAGCAAGGTTGTATTATAAATGTGACATAAGCATTTCCTAAATATATTTACTTATATCAACTATGAGGGAAAACGACAATATTTTATATACGAGGGGTGTTCAGGATTTTCTGGATCGCTGGCTCTATTTTTGCAATTTGTTATCCTTTCTTAGTGATTTTTTCACACAATATAACCCAAATATAGAATCACACCATGAGGATTTCATTGTTCTATGACATCATCATCCTATTATTCTGCTACCATTGTTACCGTTGACGCAACAGGGTGGACCACCCTACTTACTTCTAGACAATCTCTAATTAAAAAATATTGAAAAATATAGGTAGAAACAGAAATGTCCGTAATCGTATTTGAGTATACAATATCTGTTTCTTGAAAATAATTACAAAAAAGAAAACTAAGCTTCTGAGCATCGTTGTCTACATAGTATTTTTATGTCACCACCAAAAAGTGGTAACATAATGTGGTGGTCTCCGTTTTCTTTGACGGCGGTTGGCGATCGGCGGCGTCTGTAACAAATTCTTGAAACTTCCAATAACTTAACAAATACTGTTTAGACTGACTTCGTTTTTTCTCAAAATCATCTACAAGTTTTCAGAACTTCAAATCTGACTTTTTATTTAAGATTTGACCTTCAGTGACCTTTTTAAGGTCAACAAAATAATGAAAGGTTGAAAAGGTCTTATTTCAACTTGCTTCAAATTGACCAATTCCTTTTTTCAAAATCATCTACAAGTTTTCAGAAGTTCAAATCTGACTTTAGATTTGAGATTTGACCTAAAGTAACCTTCTAAAGGTAAAATGGTCAAAAAGGTATTTTTCAACTTGCTTCAAATTGACCATTTTTTCAAAATCATCCACAAGTTCTCAGAAGTTTAAATCTGGCTTTAGATGTGAGATTTTACCTTTAATGACATTCTCAGGGTCAAACGGTCTTTTTTCAACTTGCTTCAAATTGCCGAATTTTTTTTCAGAATCAACTACAAGTTCTCAGAAATTCAAATCTGACTTAAGATTGAACTAATACTATTGTGAGCAAGTAGGTGGTGACATTTTGTCATGTTAATGCCTTGTTTCCCGGTGTTGTACACTCAAAAGAGAGAATATGAAGAATACGTCGATAAATGATTGAATGACCAGAAAAACAACAATATTCGCGATCGTTAAAGGCAAACAAATGTTTTTGAAGGACAACGTACCTAAATAGAAAATGCCCTGCGTTCCATGGCTGAACAACATAAGTCCAACTCTGATATCAGCCCCGGGTGTACCTACTAAATTTGACACCAAGTTCGCTGCAAAATCACGTGCATTTTCCCTTGTTGACAAAAGGATCGAGCACGACACGTCTAGTACTAGTACCAGGTCGAGACATGCTGAAAAGTTTGAAAAACCTGTTATTCCTATTTGAATATAGCTCTTAACTCTGGTAAATTTATGTTTCATCGCATAACGTAGTAAGACTTTCTCAAGTATTTATTCACTGTTTTTCCGAAGTAGCTTTTGTCTGAGGTTGAAATTGAAATGATGAACAGTAACGGTTTAAAAGATTTCACATTTCTTACCGGCACTTCCAGGTGGTCCAAAACTGTCAAAGGGGAGTAAATTATCATTTGGCACCCGAAGTAATTCGTCAGGAACTTCGATGTCATCAGATTGGATTGGAAATGGGTCCTCTTCCACCTTTTTTTCACTTGTACCTTGTATCACTACATTTAGAAATAGGTCATCCGTGGTCTTCTATTCATTTTGCCATTTCATAATTGATATTCTTGATCAAGTTATTCTCCCACTGGAACTACTCTTATATTTTAGAGCACTTATTTTCGGTGATTGTAAAAAAGAATATGCATACTATTGACTCGTTGTTATGAGGTTTCCCCAGCAATGGCCTTAGCGCCCACTTATTAAAGGATCAAACAGACAATCAAACACGCAAAGAAAGAAAGAAACAAACGAACAAATAAAAAGACAAACAAACAAACAAACAAACAAACAAACAAACAAACACAGGAACAAACAGACAGACAAACAAACATACAACCTACCTGCCTTCAATCCACCTGCTCCAAGTTTGACATTGTGAATGTTACCAGATTTGACTGCAGCTTGTAATTGTTTGATATTAATGGCTGAAGAACCGGTGAACCAGTGGATCGCGATGCTGAGTAAAACGAATGCCCGAGGTACCTTAGCTGCCATATCGACACACCTGTGTAGCAGTGAGTGAATTTAGTACGAGAAAAATGATGAAGTATAATTCATTTGAAATTTCAAATCACATTGCAAATCAAAATAATCATAATATTTCCATTATTCATGGAAAACAATTTCCTTTTTTTGACTTACCTGAACTTCTGCTCAATTATTGTGTCGAATAATTCAATTTTTCATTGTCAAGTTTCTTTATATACTTAATCTGAATTGAATTGCGAGGATGGAATCAAAGGAATTGAATTAAATGATTTAATATAAACAGTTTTGATTGCCCACAGTAAATTATTGTTTTGAGTATGATCGTTTGCTTAATGACAGTCACAGGCATCCTCTTTGTGTTTATTATTGCTTTTTATTATTGTTATTAATTGAAACATATCATCTTAGAATATGAATACATTTAATAAATTTAATAAGTAATAAACAAAACAATTGGAATAAATGAGCAGAACAATATATGAAGACAATACCCTTTCTTTTAAAGAACATATAATTAATTTCTCTATTCAATTGAACATAATCAGAGCTTTATCAGCATTTTCGCATTAAATAGCTGTCTTAATATTAAGTTATCCTGGCACACGTAATGTAGATATGATTATCAAAGTACTACGTTCCAAGTCTTTGAACATTTCATAAACGGGTTTGTATGTTAGTAGCTTTTGAAAGCAGAAGTTTAACTTACGATCATAAACAGTAACGGTTTCTTCAATTTCGTAACTTGGAAGCAAAAATGTTTTTTAAAAGGGATATAACCGGAAATAGAATGAGCCACGAAATTAATATCACGCATCATAATTCATAAAACAGAAATTGCAATGTCTAAAAAAAATCCTCCTCCTAAGCAGGTATCCAGAATCCGTACCTCCGTAAGAATTTTGAAGCCCTGTGATCGGATGATGGAGAAAATGAAAGTGACCAAACAGCAGCAATAAAATTTCAGAATAAGTGGAAACGTGTTACATAATCAATTAAATGTTATATAAAGCTTCCTCTGAGTAAATATTGAAGAGAAAAAATTACGCATAGAAAAAGTAAAGTTCAAATATGGTTTAGCAGCGCGTGCACACCCTTCAAGGTGGTTTATATTACTTTCTGAATTCTGAATGATTATACCGATAGATCATGGATATGTAGCCGATCTCCCCAGTTTCTCAAAAATATATTCATCATTATAAAGAAGAGGATCTCAATTTTCTACTCCGTGGTCCTTTCACCTATAGAATTCATAATTACAACTTGCAGAAAACTTAAAGAGTTTTAGATACTGCAATGAATTTAAAGGCCCTGTGTTAAGTTCGAAAATATGTTTGTATCATTCATTTACTATTCTTATGATTTTAAATGTTATTTTAAAGAATTTTGAAAAATTTGGTAGTATTCAACTATTCAGTGTAAAACTTATTATAGTTTTAACACCATTGCAAAGATTGAACAAAGAACATACTATTTCAATAATAAATGTTGTATATAATGTTCCACTTAAGTGTTTTAGCATATCAAAAGAAATCCTGCATCATAAGTGACACCATCGTGATGTCATTTAGCATGCATTTTTTAAATATATCAAACTTTCAAAATAACCAAATGTTGATTGTATCCAACTAGGTTAAAAAGAAGAATATATGATGTTTTAAATATTAATGTACCATTGGTTTCTACGAAAACCTAATTTTATAATGCTTTTTCTCTGAGCCGCTTTCATATAACATATATGGTTGAGTTTATTTCTCGCTTATTTGTAAAGCAATTTTCTTATTTTCCTACCAAAGACACGTGACGATAGACGCTATGCATTGGTGTAACCATTAGTGTTATCACTTATTAAAGGGTATGTGTGAGCTCTAAAATTCAATTATTAATAAATTTAAGATTTTTCGAACAAAAGTCCTTCAAAAACCGTCACTTCTTAAAATTAAAAAACACATTTTGATAGCATTGGACAAGATTACAATATAAGCCACAGTGGTTTAAACCTCATACAGGGCCTTTAAGAAATGCAAAACTTACCAGAAGGCAATCTAATACTGCACGACAGACACTAAAAAGTTTATTACTGTGGTCACCTTGTGTGATATCTTTTAGTCGTGTTACCATTAAAGAAACATTTGATAAATTGATGCCGTGTGCACCAATTAGGAAGTCTTGCCTTTCAATCTTTCCCCTATAAATAATTGTTCTCGGGATATTTATGATTTGAAAAATCCATAAGCTATAATTGTGGTGCTGCAATGTATTCATTTTCTGCTTTATTACGCAATTTACACTTCCTTTGTAATAAGGGTGTTATTATATCATATATTATAAGAACCGTTATATCTTCTATCCCGCATTCGTTCTTTGTATTATACATATTTATTTTCATTTCTTTTAAAAATCTTACATCACAATATATCTTTTAAATATAGTATCGTATATTTTTTTAACAAAATCTGTGCAATCAAATATTTTTCTTTAGAAAATGATGATATCAAATCACAATATTGTTATTCAATAGGCCATAAGATTATTATATCACTGTCATAATCCATACTTTCTCATTGGTCTACACATTACACGATACATAAAAACAAGAAGTCGTATGCAAGGGCCATGCCTGTGACGTCAGAAAAATGGCGTATTCAGCAGTTGTGTCATTTCGTCCACTGTAAATCTGAAAGTGATAACGAAAAAATCTAATCATTCTTGTTCTTAAAAGATCCCAACAATAAGAGAGTGATGATGAATAACAGTGAATAATTTTCGGTGAATACTTGTTGCACTTTCAATGATTCCGCAAGATGCATTCCCCGAAGCTAGAATCATTGAAAGATAAACAGGATTTCACCTCAATAATATGAAATATTTGTAAACTATATGTATCTAAAGCATTAAGCAGGACCTAAAATGTAATATCACATTATAGCACCTAGTGTCATCTTTTTGGATCATGGAGAAAAGTCGGAAACAGTAGATCAAAGTTGTACAACTTAATACAGGGACGGCGATCTATGAGTGGTCTACGATGGCCAATTATGACTTAGGCTACCTAGGTATTACTAAAAACGTAGATACGATATCTTGTTGTTAATGAACTTTATACCATGTATGTGCAGGGTGTCCCTAAAGTACGTCTCCCTATACCAATGTCTCCATAGTACACTCCCCACGATAAGTTTGGCAACCTTTTTTCCCACATTGAACTACGTGTTAAAGCCTCTTTACCTTAATTTTTGTTTACTTAGCCTGCGATGAAAATATTTATACTATTGATGAAAACGTAACTTGACTTTAATTCCAATACCTCCAAATTTTCTCAATTTTTTCCTTAATTACAATAGGTCGAAAATTGATGATAAATTTGATGAATTTTTGAAAATCGACATTCCCATGTTAACCAACGAGAAATGGTAGGTTTGCCGCAAGTCATATGACAGAATATCCATCCATTCGAGTCCTTGCAAAAAATACGAGTTAGGCAGGCAATTGAATTTGCTAACTTCATTTAACAAAAAATTGATATGTTTTCAGGTTCAACAAAGTTATAGGGCTTTAATGTCAAAATTGTTTTTCAAAAGACCCATCCCATTGGGGGGGGGGGGGGAATACTTTCGGGACACCCTGTATAAAAAGTCATAATAAAACGAGATCTATTCACATTCGGGCAATTACATATCCAATTCAAACTTCACAGTATGAAATATTTCCAAGCATGTGGCAATTTGTATGTTAATATCATATATATATTATGTGTTTCTTCTACCCTGCGAGCAGAGTCTAGTTAAACTACGAAGACGAAGCTCTCTTTTAAGAAGTGAAGTCAAACAAAGGGTAGTTATATTATTATTAAATTAGTTATATAATCTACTGGTTTTTGATCAACATGTGCAATTTGTATCTTAACATAAAGCTTTCGTCCTTACGGCCCATCGACCTTGCCACTTGCTCCCAGAGAAATGATATATGAGAATGACCAAATGACTGTCTTTATAGTTCTTGTTAACGATCGAACGGCAACTATTACTATTAATGTACTTTGGAAAATTAGACATTTGCAATCTAATACTCACAAATTGATAGCTCAATGGGTGTACTTTATATTGTATCGTCAATGCCAAGGTAATACTCAAAGAATCTAGCTGGTATCCATGTCATCAATCACTGGCATTCACTGTGTAGGGTGTGTAGTGTATACACACTTGTGACTTTTTAAAGGGTCTCTTAAGACAGCACACATCGCAGCATTTATTTTTGTCATATAATGTCTACATATTTTCTGAACACTGTTAAGAGAACATAAATTGTCAAATGCAGATGAGTGATCTGTTGTTCAATCATGCTGGCCAAACATGAAATTAACCTTTTTAGATATAGATATATCTAGTCATGAAATATTGATATCCAAGTTTCATTAACGTTTCAATCAACATGCCCATCAACAACGCTGTCAAAAACTAAAGTGATAAATTAATCAGTAATATAAATGCATTGGGTCCTTATGCTTCATGTCAATCGAAAACCAGAACGTGACGTTTACTTTCCGCATAGTAACAAATGGAAGTCTTTCAGTTAAAAACTCATGTCGTCAATTGATCGATTTAAGAAATCTGGCAACAATCATTGGAGTGGCATCATTTTTAGGCATGATTCAACAAAAAAATTAAGATAAGATACAAAAAGTATTTGAGAGACAAAATGTCTTTAGATAGCACGATTTTGACTCTATATCACCAAATATATCATTCTGGGTCTTAAATGCATTTAATCACAATTTATCATCTCCAGCAGTATTTGTCCAAAGATTATCACCATGCTATCATACTTCATTTTACTTTCACTCCTCCCTGCTCCTCCCCAACAACTATTAATGTGCTCTTATTTATACTTATTTATCTGTTTGTGCTTTTAATATATTCAATTTATGTTTAATCAATCAGTATTTACACCTATATTAGGTGTCCACTGTAAATAATTTGTATTTTGATTTATTGTTATATGAAGGAAATAAATATAAAT